AATATATTCTGTGAATGATGCACGGTATTTTGACTGGCCTCAAGGTTTGAGGCAATATATTGACACCATCAGACAAGGCAAGGGGAAATACCCTAAGAAGTACTCAGCCCGTTATATATGTTCTCTTGTTGCTGATTTTCATCGTACTCTCTTATATGGGGGTGTGGCAATGAATCCAAGGGACCATCTGCGTCTTGTTTATGAAGCAAACCCACTAAGTTTTATTGCAGAGCAGGCTAGGGGTAAAGGAAGTGATGGTAAAAGTAGAATTTTGTCACTTCAACCGGTGAAGCTACACCAGAGACTTCCTTTGTTTTTGGGGAGTCCAGAAGATATAGATGAATTAGAGAGTTATGGAGATGTTCAGCAGAAAGTAAATCCTGGTTATGAAGTCTAATAATATGGTGCTCTTTTATTTACCTCTTGCATTGATGTCAAGACATCTCATTCTGCAAGTGAGCGAAGCCAAGATAATTTGTAAATGCGCTCTTTCTTTTGATCATTTCTGGTGTGCTTAACAAGGAAAGATTTACTGGAAATGTGAAGGAAAATGTAGATACACTAATAATTTTTTCAGAGTTTTATTCTCTGATCTGTGAAATATCCAGATATACAATTTTGAAGAATCTCTTGCTTTTGAAAGCTATTTGAACTCTTTGATTACTACCTTCTATTTTTTCAGATTAGCATCTCTTAGTCAATAGCTTTCCATTTGTCTTCCTAAAATTTCCTGGTCTATATATTAATCCCTCAGAAGATCTTATGTGGTTCAACGTGACCTCAAGCATATTGAGGTTCAATTACCTTGATTTGGCAAATCAGTGCTTCATTGTGTAATCTTTCTCTTGCTTTATTTTCCCCACTTGCATAGTTTATAAAGATTGTAGGAATTGATGTGTGCTAGTTGATGTCATTACATCTGCAAAAAATAACCAATTTTAGGCATCAAACATGGAGACACTGCAGAACTTTTGTAATCTCAGCTAGGCTTGCTTCTTCTTGGCCAATGGAGCAAGATAGGACAAATGTTCTGGTTTGAGCATTCAATGAGGCTGGATGGGAGCTTGAGCAGGACTGCAAGGTTCCACACTTTTGGGGATGCTTCTTGAGCTTCTTTGTCAGGTTGATCAGGCATTCCTTATTGAAGAATGACTAGACGTATCATAAGCATGTTAGCATCGTTCTTATGAAGGTATGTAAGTTTCACAAGTCTATTCTTAGGTTTGTGAAGCCAATCCACTTCAGAAACCACTAGCTCATTTTGAAAGAGAAGCTGCAGCCTGGCATACTGTTAGGATAAACAGGTTTTCTTCTGTATTGCAGAGAATTATACGTCCTTGAATGGTATCAATAGCTTTTCCTAAGATTTTTTTTTTTTTTTTGGGCATCCTTTACCTTGCATCATCAGCCATCACACAAATGACCTGGCCATCTTTTGGTAAAGCTAGAGGGTTAAGCAATAAAACTGGAAAGTGACCAATTCTAGAGAAGAATACGAAAGGTTGAGCTTCACTAGAAAGGACAAATATAATGATGATTTAGAGTTACATTTAGCTTTTTATTGAAGTATTCTCAGTATTAGTAAACCAACTACAACGTGACCAATAAATTTGTATCTAAATGAAGAGAACAAATAAAAGACACAGAGTGTACTGGTATTGTTGTCAAAGAAAGATCCTGTAAGTGGTATACAAAAAGGAAACATACTTTTTGGTCAAGTGCTGTAAATTTTAATTCCTCTGCTTGTGGTTGGAAAGCTTTCTCTTTCTGTAGTATAATAAGCTAATCAGTTTCTCTTTTTCTGTTGAAACTGCAGTGCTCAAATGCATGTGCATATACAACATGTGTTTTTTTGTTGTGTTGGCAATGCTCTGTAACTCTGCACGTGCAGCTATTTATGCTTCTTTTGAGCTTGAATGGCTTATACTTGGTTTTTGAACCTTTCAAGATGTTGAATGAATTTGTTTATGTAGTTATCATGAAGATCCTGATTGCCAAAAACATTTTTCATCTGAGCAGCTTTGACCCTTATCTGCTCTCCCTCCGCTTCCACCATGACCCGTCTAATTGATGCAGCAACGCATTCCCGGCTGAAAGAGCCGTCAATGTCTCTTGGAACTTCATAGCCTACTTCTTTCTCTGCTAATAATTTAGCATTCAGTGTCTGGTCATATACCATTGGCATGAGAATCAGTGGGTGTCCAAATCCAAGGCACTCAATTATTGATCCCCAACCAGAGTGGAAGAGGCATCCTCCTATGGCTGGGTGGGCAAGTATTTCTATTTGAGGTACCCAGCCTAGACAAACAATGCCCTGGTTTGAGGTGCGATCAAGAAAACCAGGGGGCAGTAAATTTACAGTGTCTGCTAGTGGCTTCCTGAGAATCCATATAAAAGCTAGTCCTGAAAGCTCGACTGCGAAAGCCAACTCATGGATTTGCTCAATTGGCATCTTGTATTCACTTCCAAAGCCCACAAACACTACGGACTTTGGTTTCTGTTTATCCAGCCACAGAAAGGTTGTAGACCAGCTCGAATTATTGTCACTGTGGCTCTCTTGTATGGTCTCTGGGGGTGGAGGGAGTACACCTATAGGCAAAACAGGCCTTTGATAGAGTTCCTCGACAAGATTTATGTATTCTCCTTCAAACTCTTTACAGCTTTTCACAGCAACAAAGCTGCATCCTCGTACAACTTTAGCAATTCGTTGGCCACTGGATAGACCTGATATGTCAGGAATGTGCAAATTCTTGAACGCTGTAGGTGCATAATGAGGCCTATGGGCCACCAGAGAAGGGAAGCTGAACCAATCTGGTGGCCTCGTGAAATGCTCTGCAGTTTTACGTAGAGTTCCAGAGATCAGTTCGCCTGGTGGTCCCAAGAATGCTAGAGTTGCAGCTGTATAAGCACTGAAAAAGGCCACAGGTATGCCAAATTTAGCAGCAGTTTCTGGAATCCAACCTGCAGCAAAGTCCACAAGGATCAAGTCTGGCAATTCCTGTTGCAGGAGCTTCTCCATGGGTTCAGCTAATCTGTCGTACGCCTTCTTCAAGAACTGCGTTTGCTCTGGTTGAACGTCGATGGTGGCCTCACAGTTCTCTGGTAAGCCATCAACCAATGGCAGGGGGACTGCCAGCAGCTTTATTCTGTCTGATAAGTCTGCAGGAATGGGGGGCAATCGGCATAGGTTTTTTGGCGTGGAAACAAAGGAAATTTTGACACCTTTTGTAGCTAATTTTTTGGAGAACTCCAGAAATGGTAGCAGGTGGCCAAATGCTAGCCATGGGAACATCATGAGATGATGCTGTTGAGCAGCCATGGGTGGTACTCGACTCCTTACAAGCAGCTGCTAATTTGATGCATTTTGTTAAACCCAATAAATAGAAGTTTGCAGCTTCCTCTACTCCCATGTCACAATCCTTCTGTGATAGCTGTTCTCGTTCTACACGACTAGAAAAATGCTCATCACGTTAGGTAGCTGATAGTTTCTTTTCTTTTCTCTTGTAAAGGTTTTCTTAGGGTGATATGGAATCCAAAAAAGAAATAATAAAAAAAAAAAAGACCAGAAGAAAACCATCCTGGTTCTCATTCATCCCAAATGCATTGCGTTTCAGTACTTGTGAATCAACTACTTCACTTTCTATTAACAAGTGATTTTGTGATTTAAAGAAAGCCAAATGTGTTATGGTTCCTACCCAAAAAAAAAAAAAAATTTGCTTTTGTGCTTATGGAGTTGACAGCTTTTGCCACCATCATCTTACAAGCCCAATCATTAAAACTCGAATAGGTTTTCACACGTTACTTTGGAGTGGGAGATGAAGGCGCGATGACTTGGAAAACTCATTAGTCAAACTCTAGTCAACATCGTATCCGCAATATGTTTCGATAAAAGCTTTTTTTTTTTGGTAAGATAATTTTTTTTTAAGTACGAGTGAGAGTTCGGATTCAAAATCTCTTATTTATACTTTTTCTCTCAATATCACCCAACTCATGTTTTCCTTCCCTCCTTCCCTTTGCAATAAAAGTCAAGAGCTCGTTTGGATTGCAATTTTTAGAAAGTTTTTAGAGAAAGATTATTGTAATACTTTTTAAAGATGTAATGTATGTGAAATAAAAATATAATAAAAATTTGTGCAGAAGAAATATTTATGAAAAAATATAAAATTTTTTCTCTAAAAAATCACAATCCAAACAATGTTCACAATTGTTTAAATAGATACGCTCAACATTCTAATTATTTTTTGTTCTTATCGAATTAACATATTATTACTACGTATCGAGAATCTAGGACTAGTGGAATTTGGAATATTAATTACTCTCTTGTTGTTAGAATTAGTTTTAAGATTCTTTTCTTTATTTAGCATTTAATCCTTTTGTCTCCTTTTGGCATATATATATATATATACATACATATATATATATATATATATGAGTGTTCAGTTAGTGCTTGTTGAGATGTCATTTTGGTGTTAATATTTTGAAATTTTATAATTAAATAAGAAAAGCTTATAAATATAAAAATAAATTAATAATTGTTAGTATATACATTCATATATGGTTGATATTTCAATCCAATCCCCGTACAAAACCGAAAAGAAAACATGAGTAAACCATCGCATGACTCACCTTAAATCTCTTATGATTTCCCCTTCTGGATGTCAAATTACATCAACAACACTGGACCAAATAGTAGTACTAAAAAAAAAAAAAAATAGTAGTACTATATGATGATGTTTGACAAAAAAAAAATAGTAGTACTATATGATGTATGGAACCTTCTTTAGCTTCTATTTTCTTTTTATCAAATGAATTTATGGAATCTTCTATTTGCCTAAAAAATGAGCATATTCTACAGGGGAAAGAAAATCTACCAACTTACTTGAGTTGTGATACGAAGAAATTAATGGTACTCATTAGCAACAAAAATCTATAAAGCCCTCTCCTTCTCAAAACTCAATCTCACTGACGAGTGGTACTTTCTAGTAGTAGTACTTAGTAGAATGCAAGAAGCCAATTACAACCACCACTCCGCCACCGGCACTGCGACTGGTTTTCTCGCCGTCAACGGTGGTGGGCCATCTTCCAAACGCTTAAACAAGCCCCAGTTACCCCCACTCACAGTCCCACCAGGACACGTTTGCTTCCGACTCCTCTGCCACGCGTCTCGGGTGGGCGGAATCATCGGCAAGGCCGGCTCAATCATCCGGCAACTCCAGCAAGAAACCTCCGCTAAGATCCGAGTCGAAGACTCGCTCCCCAACTCGGATGACCACCGAGTCATTGTTATTATAGGCAGGACATCACTTGTTAGGAGAATTAGTTTCAATGCCAACAGGGAAGGAGACAGTGCTAGTGGTGGTTGTGATTGTGATGATGGTGATGACGAAGTGTTTGTTTCAGCAGCGCAGGAGGCGGTGGTCAGGGTGTTTGGGAGGGTGATAGAGGTGGCGGCGGAGAGCTGCGGTGATGGGTTCGCAGCGAGTGGGGGACTGGTGTCGTGTAGGCTGCTGGCGGAGACGAGTCAAGTTGGGGCAGTGATAGGGAAGGGCGGGAAAGTGGTTGAGAAGATTAGGAAGGATACTGGTTGTAAAATCAAAGTTTTGACTTCGGAAAAGTTACTGACAGATGAAATGGTTGAGGTAATTGAATCCTGGCTGTAGAAAATCTCCTACCTTACAACTTCGATATGCATTGAAGTCTGTATTAGATACAGGGTCAGTTAATGGAGTAGTATTGGAGTGCTTACAGTTCTGGATTGCTTTTTATGTGTTGGAATTCTTTGCTGTGCCATGATGTGTTGACATTGCACTTTCCGTGGTTAAGTAAATGCATGATATCGTAGGACTACCATATAGTGGTTGAGTTTTTCGTTTTACTGAGTTTGTGTGAGTTTGATATGTATTGAAATTAATTCAGGTATAAAGTCAGTCCATGTGGAGTGTATAGAAGTAATATTAATTGAGAATGATTGAGCTCTGATTGAATTAATGTCAAAGATTGAATCTCGATTTTCTTTATGATAACTAGCTTATTCAAAAAGATGGCTTCTTGGTATTGTTGGATTTTCTGTTGAAAATAATTGTTTATGACTGATAAGCTTGCTAAAATTAGCTTTTCGCTGGTCTAGTCTACAAAGTTTTTTGTCCCCATAAAAGCATCTAACATGGGTAAGTCTGTGGACAGATTGAAGAATAAAATTACTTATTTAGTTATAAATTATTATTTTATAGTGTGTGTATAAAAATAAAATAAAAATAAAAAATATATATATGCGGGGCGGATCAGATACCTGCGGATTTTTAATCATGTGACCCTAACCCGCCCACATCTGAGCAGGTACCCAACCCTCTTTGACCCAATTAAATAATAAAAATTAAATATCTTAATTTTCGGATTGGATCGGATCGGATATGACGAATTTTTAGGTTAACGAATAATTTTGCCCACCCCCAGCGCAGAGTCATTTTTACTTTTATTTTTTGTTTTCAGAAATTTTTGATGCAATTGTCTTGAGTCCTCACGTGAACCAGAGCTAGAAGCATCATTGTAAATTCCAGAGCAAAAAAAAAAAAATTTTCCCAAAATGATAAATTTTGACTTTTCCAAACTGGAGTTGGCTCCTGATTAATAAAAGGTACAATTGACATTTTACAAGAAAAGAACTACGGTTGCACATCGTTTATCCACCAAATAAACAAGGGACCGGGGGTTCTCTTCAAACTTGAAACAAGCGAAGTTACGAGGAACAAACGTCACTTGTAACACTCAGCTGATTATATTATACTCGATTTATTTCCTTGCCCGTCTGGCTGTCTCGTAACCAGCAATTTAGCTGCTAGCTTTAACACAAATCTTAAAATCCAATTAAGTTCAAAACCAGTCACAATAAATCACGGATAGGCAAAACGAACTCACAAAACTGACAGAAAATAGACTGATATAAGGCGTTAAAAGATGATAATAATCCGCAATCGACAATCGCTCAAGATCTGCGAAGAGAAGCATCAATAGATAGTACCGTGACGCGTAGCTGATTAATCGAAAGTTTACATCAAATTCATGTTTTCAGAACATTATTCAAGAACTTAAATTCCATAGGTATACGTGCAGCAGCCATAGACCCATCTAATGAATCTTTCATTTCACATGCAACAAGCTCAAGAACTCATCATAGACCCAGAGTTCCTCCTGCATTCGGACAACATATCCATGTAAAACTGACACTTGCTGATGTCATTGCCATAGCCATTCAAGCACTGCAAAAGAAACAGATAAAGCCACATAATGAGAAACTACTACATATTAGAGAGAGTAAATTCTAATACTGCACAAACGGGAAACTACATCTAATGAAAACCCTAACGTAGACCATGTACAAACTAATCTTTCCAAAAAGGAGGACAGATGTAGTTTGGTAGGACAAATTCGCCCGAGGCTCAGTGCTAATGAGAAACACTTGCACGCCACAGATGTGGCATCTAAAAAACTACAAAGACCAAAATAATGTTCATCCATTAACCCCAATATACTTGCATGTCAGGCATTCACATCTCCTCTATTCCTGCCTCTTCTCTGATGTCTCTTTCTTTAAAGGTATAGACATGTTTAAAAATTAACATCATCATAAAAACACCACCAACAGCATCAAAGAAAAAGCAGAGACAAAAATCTTCACTGACACGATTTAGTAAACAAGGTACTAATGTACTTTAGTTTATCACTGACAAATACATCAACGAATATAATATTCTGACGCAATTAATTCTTCAATAAAGAAGCCTGTGCAGATAAATTAGTCATGAGGACTCAGGTACCCACTTTCTCCTCTCACACAACCCCCCCCCCCCCCCCGGTGCCCCCAATAAAAAAAAAAAAGAGAAAGAAATAGAGGAAAAATGAAAGAAGAAAAAAGCAAACGACTAATTCAGCAGTCTGGTTCAGAGATTAGTCAAGAAAAGTGAACATACATCTTGGAATGCCTTAGCATGCACACTGCAAGTATCAGAACCACCCATGCTGTTTGTGGTTGGTGCAGGAGCAGCAGCTGCTTCAGAGCCAACAGTTTCATGTTGAATGGTCCGTGGACCCATGACAGCATCAGCAGCCCTGTGAGCCATTGCACTTCCAGTACCAAAAGCCATGCCTACAACAAAAGAAAGGGGCAGTTAAAACTAGAGCCTCTATGGAAATGTTACACATTTTGCAAAACTAATAATCATTATAGTGCCAGTAGATGGAGAAAAGTCGGTCAACAAGCCAAAGAAAAAATTTTCATAGAACTTAATCGACACGATCACAAGTATTCTTACCATTCTTCTCCAAGTTCAGTTTGTAACTAAAAAAATACTGATTAACTTCGACATATCAAGTAGTCTCTTTGGCACAGATTATTAGGATTGTTGCAAGAGTTATAAAGAGTAAGAACTCTTTAGGTACCTTGCGCTATGGTTGAACCGATGTTTCCAAGCAAGGATCCACCACCACTAGCTTGAACGGGAGCAGGAGGAGGTGCATGATTCACTGCATCACAGAGATAGTAAAACTTCAGATGCAGAAACATAATGGGTCATGTAAAGGATTCATCAGAAAAACACAGACAAGAACATGCAATTGACATGATCATTGAGAATTTATATACTTGTTCTGAAAATGAAAAAGTTGCAATAAGCTAGAAAGCAAGCAGCTGATGCAGGAAAATTTTCAACACAATTCATACTTGTTTTCCCAATGCCTTTATGCTAAATCATACCAGGTTGAGGAGGATTGCGGGCTGGTGCGTGACGAGCAGCTGGCCGTGGTGCAGGTCTTCCTGCGCACAGATTTTAGAAATGGAAAAAGTTCATCATTGCCAGCTGGAACTTCGTGGAACACATGGAAAAAGATATGGAACAACACCAATTTTGTTTGAAAATCATAAGCAACAGGAATTAATTTTGACAATAATGTCTGAAAGAAGTATATTGCAGACATCCAAGATACCAGGATGGCACAAAAAGTTTCATGTGCAAGATTGGATAGAACAATAGTAATTCCCAAGGCACGAAGTTGAAAAACAACCACAAAGATTAGCTACCCCTAGAGTACTCGGAATAAAAGGTAAAACCCACATTTTTTAAGGAAATCAAATTATACACCACACGCCCCACAAGTATAATTGAACAAGCAATTAAAGTCCAGCCCAGAAAAAGTACAAATGTATTGGTTCCAAGAGAAGGAGAAAATTACATAGTCCAGATGCTCAACCTTGTTCAAGTCAATCAGAAACTGCATTCAGTCTGTCTAAAACCTAGGTCATTAGATTCTTTCTTTCCAGCAAAATATACCATTACTGACTAATTCAAACCAGTTTAGGACTCGAGATTATCCGCTAATTAGCAAACTTAACAAGTAACTAAATACAGCAATTTTACAGTAGCCATTTAGACCTAAACATCCAACCTTTCCTCCCCTTGACAAATTCCAAAAGCAAGGAAACAACCAGTCAAACACAGAAAAGCAAATAGAAACAGAAAATCAATAGTATCATAAACTAACCTAAGCTCAAGCTATAAAATGCCATCTTAAAAGCTTCATCAAGCAATAGGCTCAAGAAAATAAGAGTAATCTAAATATATCTACAAAAAACCCTAGCAGACAGAGATGAGAGGGTATCACAGATCTACAAGTCCAGGAAAAATAAAAAGGTAGCCAGGGGGAGATCGGGGAGGAATTTTACCCCCTGAGCTTCGGCGAGGCATGATTCAGTCTTGAGGCGGCGGTGGAACCTAGAGATAGAAATGAAGACGCAGCGAGTTGAGCTTATAGTTTTATACTTTTATCATCCGAAAAAAACGAGTCGGCTAACCATCAGATGGAGATATGAATATATAGTCGGAAATTTTTATCAGGTGTACCGCGGTGTTTGCAAGTTTATGACGTGTCAGAATAGTTGTGGTTGGTGGCTGCTCAAACATGTGGTTTTCCGATAGCATGAGAAATCAATCCAAAAAATCTGCCTTTTAATTAATTTTTCATCTTCATCTATTTTTAGAAATGAATTTTGTCAAGATAAAGATATGGTAGTATTCATTCACTCAATTAAGTGTGCGTGTGTAAATTGCTCCCAAATAAAAAAAAAGTGTGTCTGTATGTACGTGTGTGCGTGTGTGTATATATATACACAGATTGTAATTAGAAAAAAAAAAGTAGTCAAAAAACCAGAACAACTGTTTTCTTTTTTTTTTTTTTCTTTTGGTTTAAATGATTTCCAATTAATTTCATACACAATAAATTAGGTACCTAAAAGCAAAGCACACCAGCGATTTTTTTTTTTAAAAAAAAAAAGTGAGAATAGGTAGCAGAATAATTTTGAAACAAAAATTAAGAGTGTGTTTGGATAGTGGATTATTTAAATAATTTTTAAAAAAAATATTATAACACATTTTTGATATGATATATGTGGAATAAAAAGATAATTGAAAGGCGACCTTGCTAGGTACCAACAAATTCATAATCCATGCTTTTTGTTGTATGTGAATATATGATGAACATTTCACACACGTGTATCTACGATGAACATAAATAAAAATTCAGTAGTAAACACTATTTATAAGTTCAAAGAGAGAGGAGGATAATTTTATTTTCTTATCTGGTGTTTGGGATGGAATTTGTGAGGTTAATT